TTTTTGGGTTACGATCCTTTGAGAAACCTGCAAATCCACACGCTTGTTTTCGTCTCTCAATTTCAAAGGAAGTTTACTTATTTCCATTTATCAAATATTAGTTTTTGGTCCACCTTCGATCCCATTTTGGCCTCATTGTTCAGTTCCTTTGGATCAAAATGGTTGGATTTTGCCATTGATATGAATTTTGTTCCCCTTCCTTTTATTGCGTCCATTAAAACGCCAAATGTCCAGACATCTAAGCCATAGGAGCACGTGATATAGAACCAAAAGAGAGTCAAATTCGACACAACAAATGCTTTTTTTTTTTCTGGTAACGCAGCGGTTTCAACGATAAATTTTCAATTGATATGGCTTCATTTTCTGTTTCGTGACTTTAGCTGATTAAATTCTTTACACGTACTCGCCACGGTAAGGGTGTTGTTTACTGCTCGACTTAGAAAGTTGTCAGAATTTCAATTTACTTCAAGTTGTCTAAAACCAGGCTCAATAAATTCATATTATGATTTTTCATCAATGACAACCTCTAATCCCTCGGTGTCTATTGCCTTCATTGGAAATAAGATTCAGAAGAGAAAGATGCCGCTAGAATATCGACAGGAAAACATAGTACCAGTCGAACCTCCCTTTGAGACCACCTCTCGTAAGCGACCACCTCTCGTTTAATAGCGGCCACTTTATCGAAATGCCGGCAAAAGTTTCCAAGTCAAATCACCATAAGAAGATCTTTAAAAATTGTCTGAACAGATGTCGTTAAAGTGGAGCTACAGGGAGGTTTCCAGGCTTTTTAATGCTTGTAGCTTTTAGCCATGTACATTTTGTGGAAATTTTGCTTGTGTTCTGTTCTCGGAGAAATTTGGATAGCACTACTCGGAGTAAGAAACCAGCCAAGTTTCTTTCACGTGAATTGTCTCAAACGCTGTATGAAATAATTTGTGAGAGGAAAACAATTACTATGGATCTTAGGTTTTTTTCCTTAAAAATAAGTCACTAAAAGTTAGATTTCGATAAGCGCTGGTGAAAGGGTCCAGATTAAAATATGGAGCCTCCGTTGCCTGACCTCTGGTAAGCACCCACCTCCTGTAAGAGAATACCTTGACTTACCATTTCGGGTGGTCGCTTACGGGAGGTTCCTTTAGCCATAATTGCTCAGGTAACAAAGATTTCCTATATTAAAAATAACTATGGCGTCGTATGTTATAGAACTGAAATGTTGTTGTTCGTCGTGGTTTGTATAGATAGTGAACACGGTTTAATCGTTTGTCTCGCGATGTAAGAGGCAGGCTAATCAATCGTGTATTGATCGCGACTTGTCGACTGCTATACTCATTTAGTTTTCGTCAGGCGACGAGGTCGAAAGTTTCGCAAGCTCGCGCACTATAAGAACCGTCTCATCTTTGTTACAAGGTACATTAAGTGCTATATTGCCCCAAGAGAGTTTCGGGTCCAGCCTCCAGGTCCAAACAAAGGCGCTCCGCGCAGAGTTGCCGAATAGCCTCTCTGAAATTTTTAAGGGAAAGAACACACGACTGACGCGGAAAGCTGAGGGAGATGCGAAAACAGAAACCGAATCTATTGTTAGGAGCATAACAGCCACCCTCTCTACAGGTGACGCTGCTTCAAAAAGTTGATACTCAGAGGTTGTTTGATGCCATTAAAGAACCGCAACAACGCAACTTTCTAGCGCTTGTCAAGAGAATCCGATCTGGAGATCCACTTCAGCAACTAATGTTGACCTAATACCTCGTGTTCACGGAAATAAATTGGTTATTAGCGTATCCTCGCGGTCCCTCAGAAACGCTGAGGTGTCTTTACTAGGGAAAGGATTCAATTTCGCAGTAACGCCAACTAAGATCCCTGCCTCAGCCGACAGTTGTTTGACTCGAATCATCGATTATAAAACTTGATTCTGAGAAAACGGACGGTGTTCTGTAACATTACCAATGAAATGCTGAAATGCAAAAAGACCATAAACAAGATGACTCTATCATGATCCTACCAGGTGGAAAAGGTCGTGCCAGCTTAGTTTAGATACTGACGCCTACCATGATAAAGTGAAAACAATGGTCGAAATAGGTCTATACCAAATTCTCAACAAAGACTCAACCAACTGCCTGAGCCGATGACTCACTGACAAGTTGCTCAACCTAGAACGAAGTGGCCATTGGCCGAATACGAAATACAATAAAATCAGATCTAGGCACAAACAGCCACCTAGGATCTACGGCCTACCTAAGATAAACAAAGCTGAGATACCATTAAGACCCCACAGCCTTACGCACTGTCTTAAATTAAATCCGACACGACACGCAGATCGCACTTAGTGCGATAGAGTTAGTGAAATGGGACGATGTTGTTTTCAAGATCCTTTGTGAACATGGTAAAGTATACATGCATCGGGGAAATAGGGGGAGCGATGAAAGAGAGAACTAAAGAACATGAAAGAGATATACGGCTTGCTTGTAGTCAGAATTCAGAAGTTTCAGACCACGAAATTGAAACAGCACAAGTTCGAATTCCTGTCTGGGTTCAGGTTAAGTTTTTTGATCACGAACTCTCACTGGTCACGCGAAGGGTTAAAGAAGCTATCCACACAGGACTTCATCCTAATAACATCAATAGAGATAGCGGAATCGAAATTCTT